CCTCCTTATTCGTGCAGTGAAAGATCGGCGGTTTTTGGAGTGTGTGCCTTGTGGGGGGTCAGCGGGAAACAGATCACAACCAAGTCAGAGCTCATCCATGGACATTGGAGCTGGGCCCAGTTCAGGAACAGTGAATGGTATGGACCAAGGGGATCGTACGATATTACACAAAGTGGTGTTGGTGGTTCTGAAGGCCATAGCAGTGACAGTGAAAGAGACGCGCTGTGACTCTTCGTCGGAGAATTCTTCCCGTTCTGGAGGATCAGGGTCCGAGGATGTGGACATGGCAATTATAGAACGCAGCTTAAGAGAAGTGGTGCGCAAAGTGGACCACTTTGTCAAATCGAAGTTGCCCTACCACCCAGAGGCTCCGATGGCTGAGTGGATGGTGCGACTCTTTGCCGACCAGGACGACTGGTTGGTGGAATCCATGGTCTGTGGCCTTGACATTTTCACTGGATTAGGAATACGTATAAGGTAAATATTAGAGTTTGAGTTTGGAAGTGTCATTTACATTGTAAGATATGCATTGCGTAAACCTGACTACATGTTTTAATGATAAATTTGTCTTTAGGTTTGTTTTCAGTACATCTGCTCATTCATGATTTAAATTGCTTATTTATACAAAATTTAGGTTTCAAGATATAAATTGGCATAAATTATAAAATTAAGATAGACCTGCCTTTTCAAACTTGAAGCATGAATAAAGAGCAAATTTAATTTAAAAGATTAATTGCATGGTAATTCTTTATTTGACACTTTAGTGTTTGTGATATATTTGTAATACATTGTGGGGTTAATTGTTGAACCATTTACAAGTCTACTTCTTTCTCATATGCATTCAGCATCTGGTATTCCTTCTAAGGAGGAGGAATATTATATGATGTAAGGTCTAACATATTGTGAACTCCTGTTAGGTATATCCATTAAAGAACAGTATTATTTTTTTATGGTTTTTCAGTTTTTATGATTTGTATTTGCTACAATATATATGAAGATGACCAAGATTGTGGTTTATAACATATTTGCAAAAGTATTGTTTTATTATACGTAATTGCTTGGTTTGTTACATTTTCTGGAAGTTAACTGAGAAATAGATAGCAAAATGTCAGTTAAGCAGTTGAAAATTACTAAATATAGTGAAATGTATCAGGCATTTTGGGGAGAGGTGTAATGTGTCATTCTGTATCAGAGCTGAACTGTAAATTAAATCTATATTATATTTTTATATATGTATTCTTATTTTTATATTGCTACATCTGATTATTCTTATGATATATATTGTTTATCTTTATGAGTGAAACCTATATATCTTTTAATCACCATGTCCAAGTATTGTTTGTTGTTCCATTTGTGTGTTTTACTTTGATTTGATTTGATAATTAGATACTCATCTTCCAGGCAGCAACCCGAACTTCATGCCTGCGTCAACCCACACACCACCTTCCTGGTTTTCCTCGAGACCATTTACCTGGAACATGATGTGCTTCTGGATCTCCTGGTATCCAACGAGACTTCCTTCCTCCTCTACCTGCTACGCTACCTCAAATTCATCCGTCGCAGTTGGCAGGAGTTTGCCTCCCACTGTGGCCACCGCCTAGAGGAGGTCATGACAGTCTTAATCCGTCTCCGTTTTGCCATTGATCGGCTGGTGTCCAAGAACCTCTTCCCATATAACATAAGCCCTGTGCTGAAGCTGTTGCAGAAGTGTGAGGAGCTGTATGAGGTCGGGAATCATTAGCTCCCTCATCTCGAGCAGAGTACAAGAGACGAAAGGCCTCTTGTTCCTCCAACTCTTCATCTGGGAGCTTGTTCTTGGAAGTTTTTTTTTTTCCCAATAATTTTTGTTTTTTTTTGTTTTATATCTTGTTTTTTAGAAACTTCATACCTTTCTCAAGGAGTGATAATTATGTGAGGTGATGTTTGCAAGAAATTAATCATTTTATAAAGAAATTATTAACTTTCATCATCTTTGTAAGATCTGTCATACCCATGTATAACGTTCATTTCTTTTACTTACTTTTAATGATTCTCTAATTGAAAAGATTATGAAAAAAAGAAAAGAAAAAGAAGAAGAAGAAGAAAAAAGGAAAGTTGTTGATATTATTGTCTTAGCGTAAATAATCTGATACTCAAGACTCTTTGTCCATTCCCCTAATATATATTTTTCTTTATGCATAAACTTTTCCTCATTGATTCATGTCATAACAGCGTATAAACTTTCAGGTAATATACACTTGATTCCTGTGACAAATTATCTTTGTTATGCAATTGACGATTGGTTGCTTTTCTAGGTAGTTGTTTGTGGGGGGGGGGGGGGTGTGTGGGAGGAGACAGAGGAGCAGCAGAAGCAGAATAAGATCGTCATAATTATTATTATTATTATTAAATCATTATTGTTATTATCATCATCATTATTATTATTTATTATCATTATTATTATTTATTATCATTATTATTATTATTTATTATCATTATTATTATCATTTATTATCATCATCAGTATCAATGTTATTATCATTATTATTGCTATAATTGTGTTCATTATTACTTATTTTAATTTTTATTGCTAGCACTTCTTAATACAAACATTATCAGCACAATTATGGTGTGGATGATGATTACCTTAATTATTATAGATGCAATTTGATGATTGTAATAGTAATGTTGAGGAAATTTCAGTGACGAGAATAATTATTATAAAGATGTGATCAGAATTTAGTGATAATGGTTTATGAAGTAGTTGATTAAATTAAAAATTAGAATTAAAAAATGTAAAGAAATTACTGGGTGTTTTGTTGCTGATTTTATTATTATTATTATTGTCATAGTTTTTAAAACTATTGTATGAACATTCAGTTCACAATAAGATCTACATCATTTTTTGTTTTGATTGTTACAAGTTCTTGTTATATTATTAAGACAAAAAACAAAAAGAAAATCTCCCCCCCCCCTTCTTCCATTTTTGTTATTATTATTTTTTATTTAGTTATTTTTAAAAGTAAATTGTGGATCATATTTCTGCAGGACAGTAAAGGATCAAGCGGTGCTCCTCTTTATAGTTGATAGTAATGTGTAGAAGCCAGTGTCTTGTATGCCGTTTGTAGTTTGTAAGTTGTTTTGTTGCAGAAATCCCTCTGCAACGATCATTGTTTGCCATGTGTATATATGATGTTGAATGAGTTGATAGTTATTTCCTATGGGACATTATACTGTAATGATTACAAGTTGTGACGAAAAGACCATAGTGCAGACTTTTTTTTCTTGAAAGGTTCAGCTGGTCTGCTGTGGAAGGAAAGCGACCTGTAGGGATGTGGGTAATGTGTAGTCTCTGCTCTGTTCAGCTGGACGTCTGGTTCGCGTGTCTTCTTATGTCGCATTGGGAAAGGCTCCGTTTGTCGTCTTTATTTATTTACATCCCCCACCACCCTAGTTTCTGCCTCTTATGATTTTAAAACGAAACAGATGGTCACAGTGTTCACTTAGGAATGGGAGTATATATTTACTATTGAGTGTTATTTAGAGAATTCATTCAGGTGTTTGTGATATCTTTAGCCTGCCACTTAAAATTTATACATTCTGATGTTAACACTATACACAAGGTACACATAAATTGATATTTACATGTTGATTCAAACAAAAAGTATTTTTGCTCAAACTTAACACTTGTGATTACTCCTTAAAGTGGAAGAAATGCATAGAATGTTGTCTCATAATTTCTCAGGTTGTATAATCCTAGAAAAAAGAAAGAAAGATGCATTTAAGGTGATGTTCATTTAGCCATTGCACTTCTTTTGTTTGACTTGGAGCTTAGTTGCTGTTTATTTTCGTATCAGTAATCAGAGAACCTCTGTTAAAAACTCGGTGATTTTAGGTTAGTGTTTGGAAAGAAGTATATGATGAAAGGGGTAAATGAACACTGATTGATTGAATGATTGACAGATTAATCAGGCAATACATAAGGGCCTATATTTTTTACTAGTATGTAAAACTTGAAAAAGGAAAGTCTTGTGAATATGTGTTGAATACAGAGTAGCAGATGATTACAAAGCAAGTTATAATAACTTTGTTGATAACCACATTTAACCTGTGTAATATCTCTCCCCATAGTGATCCTGATAATTTGATTTTTTATTTGTATTATTTGCATTGTATATACATTTATTTGTTATGATGTTAATTGCATGGATATGTACCATTCTCTCCTCCCCACAAAATTAATGATACCCTAGAAAAATTATTTTCTAATTTTCAGGATCATTTAGGATGTGACACTAAACAGAATACAACACTCATGCAGTCAACTTCATCATTTCCAGTATAATTTCTCAATTGTTCACAAATCACCTAATCTCTCTCACTGTGCAGTATTTTCTTTTGATACAGAAGGAATATTTTTGTATTTATTTTAGAAACTATTTATTAGTGAGAATTCAAGCCTCTTTGCAAACAGTTCTTTCAACAGGTGACTCCACCTCCTGTAAAAGTAACTAGCCACTTATGTATTAAAGGCATGTTCTCAGAAACACAGGGCTGTGTTCAAGGAAAACATTCATGGTTGAAGTATCAGGTATATTGGTTTTAAATTGTCGCCTTTTTTGTTTTTAGAAATTTATTGAAGATATTCACTGAAACCTGGTTTTCAATTCCTGGTTATGGGGCATGTACTGAATGTTAATGCAAAATGGTGCAAAAGATGAATCCATTTAGCAAGAGTTCTGGACTGCACTAGTTTAGATGGGGCATTGCTCCATGTTTCAGCTGTAGTGTTTCTCTTGATCATAGCTTAAAGCTCTAGTCTGTAGATATGTGCCATGGACTGTAGGGAAAGAAGTACCATTTTTATTTTGTAGTTTCAGTAACCTTACCACAGGTACAACAATAGGGATCCAGCAAGGAGCGAGTGTGGATCGTCCGAGAGCCATCACAACCAGTTAACCTTTTTTTATCTTGCTAACCTATGAATCCAACATGTTGTGTACAAGTATTGGGTGTTTTTATTTTACTTTTTCTATTTTTTATTTTTTTAAGATTGTAAAGATCTTGCTAGACTTTACAATTTGTTATGATTATTGAGTATTTTTACCAACTCCCATGCGTGTCCCCATTCAACCTCAGAGATATTATTATTAAACAGATTTAAGTTGTTCAATCTGAGAGCAGTTAGTAAAAATCATTGTAAGTCATCATTGATATTAGCATATGCTACTTTTGCTAGAGCCTTGAATGCTAGAATTATCAGGCGTCTTATGAAAAAATTAATTTTCAACTTTAACTCTTTAAGGACAAATAAAGTATAAATTGCCGTTTCCTTAATTACCTTCATTAACACATTTATATATATTTTTTTTGTCAGTACTAAAGAGATAGTGGTTTAAGCATCATGCAAGGAAAATTAGGATTCTCAAAGGAAGTAGAGCTTTTTGTTATTGTTATGTTCATTCCCCCCACCTAAATAATAAAATATATATATATGATCGGGATCTTTTGAAATTAGAGATTGAAACAAAATCAAAATGGCTATTTTGTACAAGATGAGTCTACCTCTGATTGGTCATAACAAGACTGGATTTTCTCATGTTACTTTTTTTTTTTTTTTTTTTTTGACCCAAGAAGGAATAACACACCTGTGCTTTGTAATTTCCATAATGTATAATTTTTGATGAAAGGAAATTTAATAAAAAAAATTAAAAATACTGATAATACTGAAGGCTATTCTTATCCTCTTTTTTTTACAATTTTGCATCTTGCTGGTTGTTGCCAAGGGTGGCGGGGGGGGGCTTAGGAGATGGAGACAGGCCCAATGTAGGGATCACCTCTGCTATGGGACCTCAGCCCTCGCCTCAACTAATTTTGCAGGGTCTTTTCTCCTTTGTTACTTCTCCTTCTTTTCTTCGGCCTTTCTGTCTGCTTATCCAAATTGTCATATTTACCCTTTTTGCCACAATAGTTTACCGTAATGCTGTGCAATCTTGGATGTCTGGTACTTTTGTTTTGACCACGAACCCTTCTGGAAATCCACAAACATTGCCTTATTGAACCAAAAAAATTTACCTGGGGGGCTTTGTCCCATTTTTGTATACACAGCTGATCTTGGATGTTAACGCGGTAGAAAATTTTCAATAAATAAATATGTAAATTGTTGAGTCTGTCTGCTCTAGTCGTTGTTTTAGAAAAGAAAACTTTACAAGCATTTGCTTACCAAGGTGGCAATTACTAGGCCTATCTGACCTCAACCATTTACCCCATAAAAAGGTTATCATTCTATTAATAACCTTATTTATAGAACTAATTGTAAAGGAAATATAATAAAGAAGTGTATGAAGACCTCTTTACAGAACCATAAAACTAGGCAAAGGAAGCAGGTGTACAGCAATGAAAAGGCTGAAAGCTGATTGAGTTGGGGTTTTGAGTTTTCAAAGAATTTTTTCATTTAAACCCTGATCTTGCTTTTGATGCTTAACAGTGTCATGATTTGTTTAATCTGAATTTGACTCTAGCCTGTGAAAGCTATTTAGACAATGTCTATGGAAGACATATAGCAATGAAATACCTGAATTGGAATATCAAATTCATTTTAATAATGATAAAAAAAGGTACTTCAGGTAGCTGGATATAGGAAAACTGATCAGTGAAAATACTCCAAAGAAAACCCACATCAACAGATTATGGTAAATAACGAATTATTCCTCTACCATCAACACATACCAGACAAACAAATAAGAGATTTGTTAACCTGAAGGATAACTAAAACAAAGGTGCTCTGATGAAGTACAAAATCCTCATTTGTAAAGACTAGCAGTGACTTGGGATGCATTACTACCTTATTCTAGGAACTGACATTGTAAAATGACCATGAATGCAGGAAACAACACTGGCATCTTGTCTAAAAAGTCAATGGCACTAACGTACAATCAGCACAAGAATAAAACTTGGCAAATTTCCAGAGCTTCTTTTGAAGTGTTGATTATATATATATATATGTATATATATATATATATGTATTTGTATATGTATATGTATGTGTATATATATATATATATGTATATATATATATATATATATATATATATATATATATATATATATATATATATATATATATATATATATATATATATATAAAATTGTTTCCTTTTATAATAAACAAGAATCTTCCACTTTGTTAGATCACATCAAGACAAAATATGTACTTTGTTTAGAAATTTTATTTGAAGCATCGACTTTGTCAAGGTATCAATATTCAAGAAATAATTATGACAGTTGACAGATGTTTAGTGATGTGCCAAAGAAAATTTTTCTAAAGGAGAAAAATACTAAACATAGCAATATGTAATTTCTTGAGTAAAAGCCTGATACACTTCTTTCGCCATTAATCTTCACATACATTGCCACGTGGAATGCTCATACACCATTTTTAACAACAAGCAAATAAAAACTAATACTATTCATATTTTTCTTCATTACACAACTATTTCTAGTCAACCCAGTAAACAACAGGACAATCTATGAAACATACATCTTTTTTTTTTTTTTCCTCCCAAAATTATCCACAGAGTATTAACATACTTGCCACTGCTTCTGTAAAAGAATATAAAGGTGCCTGAATGCGGCCATCCCATCGGGTATTCACACATCCACTCCCCATTTTCTTACTGCACTGTGCAACAACAAACAAAATAATATTAATAAAAAATAATATACAACAAAATCATCCACACTGCAGAAGCCACATAATGGTACGTCTACCCACCCCTCTTCCTGTGAGAACTTGGCTGCATATATTACACTGAATATGAAGCAAGGAGGTGTTAATGTCCCTTCACTCATTTTCTAAATACACTGATCAACCATGTTTTTATTAGGGTTTGCTCAATATTTAGAATTGTATTCATGTACTTGTGGACAAACTGTTAAGGTCTATATACTACATTTCACTTGTCCATGTTTGAAGAAATTTAAATGTCAACCTTCTCAAAGCTCCCATGCTAATATCCTCTATTTGCCAAGTAAATGCTTTTGTAATAAATAAGGATCATAAGTGATTTTCTATGCTTTTCACTCCACATCAATAGCCCTTTAAATTATGGTATCAAAATGTTAATATGTTGCATGGCACTGAATTTTCCATTATATGTTAGAATTGACTGCACGTTATTTCCATTTAGTATTACTTCACTAGAGGTAATGGAGAGCAAATATAGTTATATTGCTTATTCATTATAGAATACTGCCATTCGCTTAGATTAAATTCATGCTAGAACTGCTGAGCTTAAAAGGCATTAATTAATGATCAACATGTATTTTGATCATTTAATCATAATGTTAACCTGAATCCATGAGGAATATGAAGATAAATAGATTTATAAAGGAATTATCATAGATTTTTTCAATATCTGGAAAATTAGTTTATATTTGTGTTTTTTCTTCCTATTCCTTCTCCAAATCCTATTCATCAGTTGACTCTTTACAAGTAACTATATTGAACTCTTGAAATAACGGTAGACCAAAAATGACTTACATCATGCATTTCTCACAAAAATACATTAAATTTAATGAATGAAAAATCACATTTACTTTTCCCAGATGATGTTTCATGGTAGCAGCTAGGCAAAAGCTGAGAAAATGGAGACTGCAAGTAAAGAAAAAAGAATTATAAAGAGAGGTGAGGGTGAGGGAGAGAGAGGGAAAGAGAGGGGAGGTAGGGAGGAAGGAGAGAGGAGGATAAAGACAATGGAAATAGCATTATCTATAAATGTGCAAATGAAGTGTATTGCACACATTTTTGCCAGGAATAGGTGTCATCCTCTGAAATGCAATATTTTTTTGTTTAAGCTGGCATTTTATTTCTATTTATCATCAATGTTTTTCTTAAACACTTGAAATTCAATAAGGCCAAAGATGATTTCATTTAATAATTTTATTATAAATGAAAATCAACAAAAATAAAAAAATAAATCAGGACCAAGAACAAGTTACTGCAAAAGCCACATGAAGTAACATGGAACATTCTTAACTTTAAACAAATCTGTGTCTTGCACCTGACATGTCTGTAAACAGAATTTTTGTGTCATTTTCATGAGATTCTGCTTGGATGAGTGTTGAAACAAAATTTGCATGTCTGAAATGTTTTCTGATTTTGGATCTAGTCTTAGAACTCCTGAGATACTCTGGCTGCCCACATAATGAAGCATCACCTGAAACACGGTGGTAAATTGCAACTCTCTTATTTGATTTCTTCTCGTCACCTTCTGTGGAGAGGCAAATTATTCTTCAATTCAGCAATCTGTTTTCCATAAATACATGGGTTATGTGTATTTTCATTCTCATTTTATAATTGTCCAAAAAATGTTTCATGGTGTAATGAGCAGAAATATTTTAGCACAGATTACCAAGCTCTTTGTTTGTTTCTTTTTAAGAAAATATACATGCCTGGCTACTCTCGAAAGAAAAATAAATAACACAAAAATCATGGATAATGTATCACTAACTAGTGCTGCTTTCCTTTAGTCAGGTTTATTAAGAGTATGAAGCTTCATGACAGGTAGTATCCCATACTATGATACCCACTGCACTCCTTTAATCTATTAACATAAATCTATTAAATAATTAATGTAGTAGGTAAGAAAACGCTTCCTTTGAACAATCACAGTTCCTTAATAACCATAAATCAGTGACAAAATGTAATGACTTAACATAATGAACACATAGATATCAGTAATCTTTCCTATACGCAAAGGGGAGCAGGTGTAACCCTTGTCAAACCAAGACCACACATGGAATGACTAGAGTCCCAGCCAAGCCAACATGACAATAAAAAAAAAAAAAAAAAAAAAAAAAGAAAAGAAAAGGAAAAAAAAAAGGGGGGGGCCATGGCATACAATTGGGTTGATAAGGATGCCTGCTCAACCAATGGGTTAACAAAGACTCATTCAAAATAAATCAACTGATACAGACATCAATTCATCTTGATAGTACTGTTAGATACCAGGCCTAAACATTGGATTGGCGAGATGTCTGTTCATGCCAAGACAGATATCAAACCAAGCCAACTGGTCGAGGACAAGTTACATTAAAGAATTGAAATTACCTATGAAGACTCAAGGGTCAATTATGACATATCAATACTCGAAAACCTTCATTTATCCATTATGGAAGAACCATTATTCTAATGCCTCATTACACTAGCTCCAATTGGATTGAACACACAATCAGCACTTTTGCACCAATTGTTAAAAAAGAGGCTGTTTCTCATCCCAAACACCAAACTTCTGTTTAGGTAATGATTTTCCTGGTTGGTAAAGCAAAGATCAGCCATCATTATTTCCAGTGAATGATCAGAAGCAAATGCTCTGAAATCGAACATGCTATTGAAATAGTAACAAACATCGTACATTCACACCTCGCACAAAATCCTTCCCAAGGGGTGTTAATTAGGCAAATTTGGTATGTGATCGATTTTCATTTAGTTAGACATTGGAGTTAATAAGCTGTTAATCTTGCACAAATGCCTTTCACTAACTGGACAAAAATCATTACACAAAAATAAAAATTAAAAAAAATTAACTTGTGACCATCTTCAATTCACTTAAAAATCATACAACAGCAGCACTGCAAAACCTTTTAAACATTTCAGAATAATCTTTCACACAACTGACCTAGGGTGTGCATACTTATATATCTCTGTATTGAATGGCTCTGACAGAACAAAATACAATGAGCAAGTAACAGATAAGTCTATGATAAAAATAATAAAAACTATTGCAACAAAGAAAATGAGAGTACAAACAGGGGGTGAAGGGAGAAAGGAAAAAAAATGAGAGAAAAGAGGGGAGGCATGGGATAGGGAAAGGAAAGGAGAGAAAAGATAGAGAGACAAAAGAGTGAGATGAAAACAGACTATGAATGTAACTATAAGAGAGTTATTATGGATTATATGTAAAATTTCTATATATCCACAATAATCAATATGTAAAGATGCAATTTCTTTTTCTCTATCATCTTCCTTCTGTATAAAATGTATAGCATCTGCCATGTGAAACTGTAATCCATCATCACACAGTCTGAGGTTAAGGGAGCTCCCCCTTATGAATGGCAAAAAAAAAAAAGGCCAATCCGAAAATACAAACAAAACAATGGAATAGGACAGAAATGAAAGAGGTATTATAGATATATATTTTTTTCAGACACCATTTAAGTAGTTATTGAGCCTAAAGTTAAATTACTCATAGAAACCCCAAGTTTTTTTTTTTAATTTGTTCTCGAACTGTTAGTGTTACATCTTAAGACGACAAAGGCTTTGCCAGCCTTCCGTTTCCTCCAAAAAGTTGCCAGTTGCTTCTTTGTGGGTGGTAAATGTTGGTTATAATGGAAAGCCGGAGTGCACGAGGGAAACTGCACGTTAATAATACAACCTGTATGACACTTCCATGGGTGATTTGTTGAAAAACTACAGCCAGCCAATTTTATTGACATATACACTAGATCATATGAAAAATCCTTGATTTTTCATGTTTGGTATTAATAACATTTGAACATGGAAAAATAATTGATAAAAAAATGTGAAAATAAAACTTAATGGACATATACAATAACATATCTATCTATCCTCGATATCAGAATCCAAACAAAAAATTTGTTCCAGGTAGTTGCACCAGCCGTATTCATGTTGACACTTACTGTTAATACAAGATTTCTTCCATCTAGAGTCAATATCAATATTAATACTGACAGTCCAGTCAACCATACAAATGGCAAACCAGGTTAGGCACACACTGCAGCTACAATTGTCCGCAAACAAAGGCAACCCAGATCAAGCACAGAAAATAGGGAAGAAAAAGAAAAAAGAAAAGAAAAAAAAGAAAAAGAAAAAAGAAAAAAAAAAAAAAAAAAAAAAAAAAATAAAATCAATGAATATATAACAAATAAAATAAACAGTCAAGAGATGAGGCCACTATTTTGGGCAACTACATTAAACCTGGATTACCTTAGTTAACCACATGGATGAAGTTCTCTTTTTCTTTTTCTTAGCAATAATAAAATAGAAATTCTAAATAACAGCTTAAAAAGAATTCTGCCAACTTTTTTTTTTTTTTTTTTTTTTTTTAAAGGAAACCTTCCATGCTGTGCCATTACTATTCTTCTGTCTCCAATGCTTATAATGAATGGCAAACCCTGACAGTGATATGAAAAGCCGACACAACAACTATATAAAAAGAAAAAAAGAAAAAGAAAAAAGAAACTAGAAAAAAAAGAAAAAGAAAATGAAAAAAGAAAAAGTAAGCTGGATTGAGTCCCACATCCTCCTGGGGAAGTGTGGGTCTTATTTTGTTCTTTTTTATTCATTATTTCTTACCATGATTATTCCTTTTCGTGTTTTATAAGGTTCAGTGGCTTTGTGCATTCACAATTTAATTTCAACAATATTTACAATTGTCTCATTTTTTTTCCCCTTTATCTCTCTCTCTCTCTCTCTCTTTTTAAGAATCAACCTGCAGTAAATGTTACAATTTTCTTACCCTAAATTGTGCTGTAATTGTGCCCTTCCCTGTTGAATCACAATTGGCTTATTTTTTATTTTTATTTTTTTGTTATACAAAAGTTTGTGCTCCTGTGTTCTACTTGCCCCCAGCTAAGCTTGGTGTTCAATCGTCTTTGTTTTTGTTTTTCTTTCTTTTTCTTGCGTAATGACTACTCCACTGCTCTCTTGTCCACCTGACCACAGTTTCATCATTGATATAAAAAGAGAAACACTATCTTGAAAATTCCAACATACAAAAAGCATACAAGCTAAGTTTCTAAAACTTTTAATATATATATATATTTTTTTCAGACCTTTTTTTTTTGTTTTTGTTTTTTTATGTTTTTATTCATTTATTTAATATTTTTGACTCTACCACACGGGCACGTTAAGGAAAGTTGGGAGATCGGACATGTCTGGGCGAGTGTTGCCATAGCCCCATCGTCCACTTCTCGGAGATGTTAGCAGTTGTTCTCTCTCTCTCTCTCTCTCCTTCCTTCCTTTTTCTCCTTCTGTCTTTTCTTCCTTTCTTCCTCTTCTTCGTGTACCGCTCACTCACTCACTCACTCCTCTTTGCGCTTGTAGGATCCTTCATTGTTAGTGATTTATTATTATAATTTTTTGGGGGGGGTATTTTTTTTTTTAAAATATTTGTAAAACATTTCTCATATCATGCACAAGGTTTTACTCTGGACTGACAAAGATGGCCAATTTTGGGGGGTGGGGGTTACTCTTTAAACTTATATATATATATATATATACATTTTTTTTTTTTTGCTTTTTATTTATATTTTTTTGGGTTAATTTTTTTGCTTATCATTATTAACATTTTTTTCTTTTTAAACATTCAGAGTCATTTTTTTTTCTTTTCTATTGATGTTATATGCAATTGAGGTTCTGTATAATAATTACACAAAACTGAAATGAGAATGACATAACCACTGATTCACACAAAGTCGAGAGAGAAATTTCTGTAATTCGCGGCAGCCAGGAAGTTGGTGCGAAGTTATCCGTACAGGTGACGCCTTCCGAGAACTGTAGCTCCTCCTCCCAACTTTCAAAAATTAATATAAAAAAAAAGAAAAGAAAAAAAAAGAAAAAAAGAAAAAAGGATGAAAAAAAAAGAAAAAAGAAAAAAGATGAATACATAAAAAAAACAAACAAAAAACTATAAAATGAAGAAAAAATTTAAATAAAGAGAAACAACAATAATAAAAATAATGATAATATTCAGAACAAGAATCAAAATCAACACAATAAACAACAAACATTAAATAAAAATAAAAAGTGGCAGAATTTAGTTGTCAAATGGCACTGGCATGAAGTTAACTTTCATGACAGTTACGGAAACAAATAGGTTTAATGCCATTAGGCTTATTTAGTCTACACAACACACAGTCCTCCTAGAACACAATGCACTTCCTCTTGCTGTTCCTACTTCCGATCCTAACCTTCCCACGACGTTCCCTCTGGAAAGATATTAGAGGCAATCAGCATACAGGCTCGGATCTTGATGCAAACATACACACACACACACACCCACTCACAGGACACAAATATAATTAAGAAACTTGCAACTTTATCACAGCACTGTCAAGCACTAAATTTGGTATATTACTCTCGACAAAGCCATGATCAACAGAACTTCACAGTGAAACTTACATCTTTCCTGATCTCTCTTACTAAAGTGTAGAAGGCATCGTCGACACCCATGCGGGTCTTGGCAGAGGTCTCAATGAAAGGAATGTCGTAATTCTTGGCCACTTCTCGTGCCTGCTGCATGTCCATTGCACGCACCTGCAAGTCGCATTTGTTGCCCACCACTGTGTAAAAGAAGGCAATGGTTGTGAGGTGTGAGATGAAGGATTTTGCATGCACACTCACACAAGTGAATACTGGCACTTCTGACAGAATTCACTATAACCCCATACACAAAACATACTAAGCACCATAATTATATGGACCTTATAAGATTGGTTAATGGGAAAAACTTCCATTACCATCTATTTTAAACTGTCATCAATAACACTGCAAGACAACTCAGGAACATATAGATAAGCCTCATGCAGATCAGAAAAGGGAATAGCAGGGTACAACATGAATAGCCCAAAAGCCCATTACTTGTGCTAAGCATGAAGTAACAATGAAATGTACAAGACTTCAGTAGAATTGTAAATCTATCTGCCCTTCCCTTTGTTACATTGTGAAATAGTAAATAAAACAATGAAAGGAAGAATGAGATAACTCACGAATAGGCTGAAGGCCTTTCCTCTATACTGAGTCTTCAGAGCATACTCAAATGTTATCTTGTCCTTCCCTTTTTTGTTTAATTTACAATTTGTGGAGCATGAATCCTGTACATGAAGTTAAGTGCATACTGAACAGGAATTTTATACTTACAAACCATAGGTACCACATCTGCGTCCTTTACTCGTTTTATCTGTTCCCGATATGCACTTATATCCTCAAAAGACTTTGCATTGTTGACAGCAAAAACAAGCAGGAACCCTTCCCCAGTTCGCATATACTGGTCTCGCATTGCACTGAAAAGAAATTTGAAGAGTTAGAAGAATAATCATTGTAGACTTTTTTTAATGGTTGATACAATACTTGCAGGTATGAATATAAACCCAGATCTTTTTCTAGTCTTAAAATATATGAAAGATGTTTAGTTGCCACAAAAGTTTGGCTAAATTTTTAGCTTTCTCTTGTTGTGTGCAAATCTCTGCAAAAACCTACTTAACCATAGACCATAAGATTTTATTTATTTATTTATTTTCAATTTTGGTGCTACTTTCAACCTCAAAGAACCAATTTCTTTTCCTAGTTGACTCTCATTGGAAGATTGCTACATTCATAATGTAAATCAGATTTTTACTAAACAAACAACAGGTAACAAGATGGAAGAAATCTGGTATTAAAAGTAGTATATAGTGGACAGGGAATGTCAAAAGAACCATTTGATAAGCTGCTTGAGAAACTATAATGTACATTTTGCCAACAGAAGATGTATTCTCTTAGTTAGATGGAGTGACAAGATCACACTTCTAACTAAAGGAATTTCACAGGTTCTATACTACCACCCTCACTTGGCTGAAGTATAGAGGAAATCATATTATTCATATTCACTATGACAAATATGTGTCAGTCTAAATATGTTTGCACTATGGTTTACTCTACAATCTGAAAGCTGTGCTTCACCACACACCAGCAATGAAAGCCCTGGACTGAACCAATTACACATCAAAAGGTCATCAGTGTAGTGGACGTGGAATGGTTTAGGGGCCTGAATACACACAATGTCCAAAATAGACAAGATTCATACACTTATCCATGTAGGCCTATCTTCCTTAACAGAATTCCCTCTTCCTCATACTTTAACATACTCTACCTTTGCCCTATAAATGCTGGCTCTTCCCCTTACCTGTCCATATCCACCCTTTATTCAGCATTCAGATAATGTTAACATGCCTAAGCCCTCCTCTTGTATTCTACTTTACATCTAAATATCTGATGAGCATATTTTAAAACAGAAGTAACACTATTTCTTGTTCATGTTCTTAGAAACAGAACTTTGACTTATAAGCTAATAATAAAGCATGTAATACCTTTACAGAACTTTATCTCATTGATACATAGTAAATACAAATGCAATTCTGCATATGATCTGACACATACAAGTAAGTGGAGAGAGACAGATAGACAGAGACAGACACACACACACAAATATCCTTATTACAGGATGTTATATAGTCAGACATTTCCTGTGTCTGAAGCAATCTACAGACCCATACACTGACAATACTTCAACTATCTGCATCAAAGTACTAAAGAGCTACTGTACCTGTATTCTTCTTGCCCGGCTGTGTCGAGAATATCCAGTAGACACGTCTCCCCATCAATGACGACCTGTTTACGGTATGAATCTTCTATGGTTGGGTCATATTCATCGACAAAGCTGTAGGAAATAAAACAAATCAGTATATATGAATAATAAGTTAAAGAATTACATTAATTCTATATTTGTCTGCAGGTACAAAGTGATCATAAACCACAAACTCCCCCCCCCCCCCCCAAAAAAAATAAAAGATATATCATAAGAAAACACATTACAAAATGAATTCCGAGATCTGAGACAGAATAAATACAAAGCCATGAGGCAGTAACCAAGGAAATATGATAAATTTCACAAGGAATTCTCATAAAGAGCTTACAGGAAGACAAGTCATACTTACTGATTTTGAATAAGTTGAATAGTAAGTGCACTCTTCCCAACGCCTCCAGCTGTTGGCAGAGAAAGTGTGCCAATTAGTCGCAGCCACACACGAACACCCTCTTGTTAATACCCAAACTCCATGGAGAGTGGAGATGCTCACTGAACTTAATGTAGGGCAGACTGTACGTTAAACTATGTCTTGGACACAATTTGCATTTGGTCAGTATAAACACATTGTTCTTAGTTTACAATGAAACTGCTGCATTTTACAAGCAACACTATAACTTTCATGAAGGGATGATTTGTTATACTACACAATGGTAACCAGCAGTCTAAGACAACACAAATTTACTAAGTGTCCGGAACTACATGCTGCACATACCGCATAAATATTTGCACTACTCGATATATAAATTGCATAATTCAGTTTCAATTTCACCTTGCCAATCTGACATTCTGTGAAATATATAGAAGATACACTATCAATAGGCATGGTAAAATAACCCTCTATAATAGATAATACAAACATTCCCTTAGTATACAACTACCGGTAAAAACAATCTTAGCATAATATGATAGTAATATCTTTTTCCCACACTGCTGCACACTCTGAATGTTGCAAAATTTAAAGCAATACCTGTATCTCCAATACTGTGGAGATGGGGGGAGGGGCTCCGAAATATTACTCATGATGATTACTTCAAAAGAAACAAATAAATTTTGCGAGACAAACTCCCACAAAGTGTATATTGCACAGCTGCAGGCCACAACTAATAATATCTTTTAAAATTGTGGTGCACAGCTTCACAAAGTTACACATATCACTGTCAAAAAGAGCTAACATCTGACACACAGTGCATTACGAGATCTCTGCTGAACCAGTTGCAACTATGTCAAAAAAATACCAGACAGTTCCATGCCACAGTTTCATTTCATTCCAAAGATGACATTCTCAGCTGACTCTAGATGTAAACCTGCAGGATAAAGGCTACCCTCTGACGAATGTGATCATGTCCTTTTCTTCAGGTCACTAAATTGATTGTTAAAAGATGTAACTGCAGGAAATACATGCTAACAGAACATACAAAGAACGGAAAAAATTGTGACAACTAGACAATACGTTTGTGGTCAGATATTAACTTATAGAGCTTTCAGTAATTTTAGAATCCAGTTAACCTGATTCATTGCTATATGCAGTGCAGGAACGGTATCAAAACAGCCAATGAAATTACAAAAACTTTAAAAACCTACCTAATCAACTAATATTACAATTGAGCTAGTGGTATCAACAGCATAAAGGGTTACAATAATAATAATAATAATAATAACAATAATAGTAATAACCACAATAATAATAAGTAATGATATTGATCAAGTGGATCTTACACATAGCAATAACACATGATAAAACTCAAGCATACTTCCAGCAGCAAGAGAACTTTTTTGATCAGCCTACATTCACTGACTAGCAAGTAATGTGCTGATGTCAGGAATGTCAACAAGACTTCATCTAATAATTAGAAAATACGGACTGCTGATGACTGGGATCCACAGGTTCTACCTAGTTCAAATACTATAGAAACATCTTACCCTAAAACATTCCAATGTGAATTCTAACAAAATCATTTTGGACATCTATAAGTATAAATATGTAAGTATAAATACATACATACATATATATATATATATATATATATATATATATATATATATATATATATATATATATATATATATATATATATATATATAAGAAACAATTAATTTAATCTTTTATATGTACATATTTACTTTGACAAGCCATTTGTTCTTCATATTATGGATAAAATGAGCAATAAACAGTAAAGCAAAGTATAATGAACAAGTAGTTTATGAGATATAAAACAAGAATCAAATGAAAAGAATGCCCACCTGCCTTGTAATGCGTGTGGAGACAATGGACACAGAAAATTAGAAAAAAAAGGTAGAAATTATTTCCTTTCCGCTACATCCAGAGTCGTGACATCAATCCCTAGAAATATGTTGTTACACTGTACCACTATCCTGATGATTACTAGATGATGTGATGGAAGTTTCAGTTAAGTAAAGAAAAACAATGCCAATGTCAAATAAAGGTATTGGGTCAACCATCACTGAAAAAAGGTCACATACCCAACAGGGCAAGTAGTTCAAATATCCTTACATATGAGTATACCCAGGTTTGGTTTTGGTCTTGGGTAATCTGTACATGCATCTCTGACGACAACCAGTTTTAGCTGATCTAGGAGAGGTGAATAAGTCCATGCTCCTTCTGTTAATTTTGCATGGAAAGCTTGGCCATGGACACTCAGAAAGAGATGGAGATGGAGGGGGAGGGGGAGGGAAAGTCAGAGGGAGGGAGGGAGGGAGAGAGGGAGGGAGAATGAGAGAATGAGAGAGAGAGAGAGAGAGAGAGAGAGACAGAGAGAGAGAGAGAGAGAGAGAGAGAGAGAGAGAGAGAGAGAGAGAGAGATAGTGAGAGAGAGAATGAGAGAGAGAGATAGTGAGAGAGAGAATGAGAGAGAGAGAGAGAGAGAGAGAGAGAGAGAGAGAGAGAGAGAGAGAGAGAGAGAGAGAGAGAGAGAGAGAGAGAGAGAGAGTGTTTTGTAATACGGAACATACAAGAGGACAAAATTTGTATTTAAGTTTTTAAGTCTTTATCATATTATCTGATTTAACACTGGATACACTTTTTATGTAATGGAAATGCACTCTCTGGCATTTTTACATATCTTTATCTAAGTTGTTGGATCATATTTTTGTGAAACACCTGGAAGTATATAAAACTTAATCAGAGAGAGAGAGAGAGAGAGAGAGAGAGAGAGAGAGAGAGAGAGAGAGAGAGAGAGAGAGAGAGGAGGAGGGAGGGAGAGAGGGAGGGAGGGAGAGAGGGAGGGAGGGAGAGAGAGAGAGAGAGAGAGAGAGAGGGAGGAGGGAGAGAGAGGAGAGAGAGAGAGGAGAGAGGAGAGAGGGAGAGAGGGAGAGAGGGAGAGAGGGAGAGAAGAGAGAGAGAGAGAGAGAGAGAGAGAGAGAGAGAGAGAGAGAGAGAGAGAGAGAGAGAGAGAGAGAGAGAGAGAGAGAGAGAGAGAGAGAGAGAGAGGAAGTGGGGGAGAGAGGAAGAAGGAAGGAGAAGAAAGAGAGAGAGAGGAGAGAGAGAGAGGAAAGAGAGAGAGGAGAGAGGAGAGAGAGAGGAAGGGAGGAAGAGAGGAAGAGGGGGAGGGAGGGAGGGAGGGAGGGAAGGAGAAGAAAGAGAGAGAGGAGAGAGAGGAGAGAGGAGAGAGAGAGAGAGGGGGGGTGATAGACAGACAGAGACAGAGAAAAAGAGAGAATGAGAAAGTGAGAAAGAGAGAGAGAGAGAGAGAGAGAGAGAGAGAGAGAGAGAGAGAGAGAGAGAGAGAGAGAGAGAAAGAGAAAGAAAGAAAGAAAGAGAAAGATGAGGGAGAGAGGGAGAGGGAAGGAAGGAGGGGGAGGGGGGAAAGGGAGGGAGAGAGGGAGAGAGGGAGGGAGGGAGGGAGAGAGGGAGGGAGGGAGGGAGGGAGAGAAGTAGGGGAAGGGGAGGAGAATGGGAGGGAGGGAGGGAGGGAGAGGGGGAGAGAGAGGGGGGCAGAGAGAGAGAGAGAGAGAGAGAGAGAGAGAGAGAGAGAGAGAGAGAGAGAGAGAGAGAGAGAGAGAGAGAGAGAGAGAGAGAGAGAGAGAGAGAGGGGGGGGGGAAGAGAGGGAAAAGGGAGAGAGAGAGGGGGAGAGAGAGAAAGAGAGAGAGAGAGAGAGAGAGAGAGAGAGAGAGAGAGAGAGAGAGAGTGTGAGAGAGAGAGAGAGGAAGGGAGAGAGAGAGAGAGAGGAAGGGAGAGAGGAAGAGAGGAAGGGAGGGAGGAAGAGAGGAAGGGAGGGAGGAAGAGAGGAAGGGAGGGAGGAAGAGAGGAAGGGAGGGCGGAAGAGAGGAAGGGAGGGAGGAAGAGAGGAAGGGAGGGAGGAAGAGAGGAAGAGAGAGAGGAAGAGAGAGAGAGAGAGAGAGAGAGAGAGAGAGAGAGAGAGAGAGAGAGAGAGAGAGAGGAAGGGAGAGAGGAAGAGAGAGAGGAAGGGAGGGAGGAAGAGAGGAAGAGAGAGAGAAAGGGAGGGAGGGAAAGAGAGAGGGAGAGAGAGGGAGAGAGAGGAGTAGTAGAGAGAGAGAGAGAGAGAGAAGTATCTCCCTAACTACACAAGCCAAAACAATAAGTAAAAACAACATTTAAGAATTTTCCATTTGAGGAATATTTCTCTCAGTTTGCAAATAATTTCATTCAAACCTTATGCCTACAGTAACCCAAGATAGCTACACAACTATTCAACAAGTATGTTCTAGCAAGACAGTTAACTGGAACTGGTTTCTTATTGATTGATGCATCCTCACAAACAAAAATCCTTGAAATCAGATCGGTGTTGATATGAAAGTGCCATTTTACCCCAGTACCCCCTTTTCACTGTCAATGAAAGAAACTGATGCTAGAAAATGTCCTGAAGCATATTTCAAGCCAATATACCCAAGATGTCTACAGACATTTCTATTTTTTTTTACAGCCATATGAAGACATCTATGACAAGTAAATTTTTAAAAGCTATTCACTGTAACTTTCCATATAGAATTTTTATTGTACAATTATACTGGCTGTGTCTTTGCCACCCCACTTGAAATCTACCCTTGCCTGGGATGAATGGCCTATAGCCTAAGCTAGCATAACTGAGATGCTTTTCATGCGACTGCCAAGGGCTCCATGTTTCATTCCGGCAAACAACAAATAAATTACAGTCAAAGGAGTCAAATGAGCTCTAACTTGCCAGAATCTGTATGGCACATATTTTCTTGTATCTGCAGAGGCAGTGCAAATCAGAGTGGGACAAGTGGCAGATATGGATGTCTTCTCCCATTGAATATAATCCACAACATTCAAGAAATACAGATGATAACTTCCAGTGAAAGAACTGCATATTAATAATTGGACAAATGAGTTATGTGGAAAAATCTGGAAAAATAAATTTAATAATGACAGCAATATTAATAAAATGTTCTAACAATATATTGGTACTGCAGAAAGCCCAATTCAGCATATGCAAAGTTTCTCTAGCTTGTCTTTCTGATATCTTGTCTAAATGATGTCTCAGGACGAAAGATACCTCAAGCTTAGCATTAACGTGAATCTCCAAAATCTGATAGTGCCAAGACAAATAAACAAATACCATAACCATGAAGGCAGGGAAATGACAACCCTATATGTGCATAAATCGGCCAGAAACTATTGTTGAAACAGACACTTGCAATGATTCACTCGCTGTGCCTTCCACGCCCCAACAACGACCAACGAATCTCCTCCGCATACCGCGTTCCGAGACCGAGTGAGTTGTTTTTTTGTGCAATCAAACGTCAAATAGGGAATCAGTCTAGTTTACCGAGCCAAAATACACGAGGTGACAGTTTGTTGGCCTTCAGCTGAAACATGATGCGCTGAGGCCATGGCATTGCTCTGAACTGTCTTATCATCGACAATTATGAGATTAGGAACGAGAACAATATCTGTTCGTGAGGAAAAGGAATATCATGAGAGGAAAGTTACAACAACAATGACCTGGGTTAATCTTACCAAGGGCAACGGAAAGAGACAGAGGGAAACGGACATCACATAGAGCACAACAAATAGTCATAAATAACCCAGCTACACCTAATGCGGCCTCGTATTTACCGCAAAAGGACGAAAATACCCGCTGCACATCGCCGCAGAGAGACCAAGTCCGCAACAACCCCACACGGACAGAGTTCCTTATGTCCCATTTAATAAGTTGGCAAGAAAGTGCTAATAAAGGCAGGGGGGGGGGTATGTACAGGAGAATCCCCCCCCCCCCCATCTAGAGAATAAATAGAAGGCATAAAAAGCTAGGTTTGGACATAGGGCTCGCATGACACCCTGGTTTTCGGGGCTTTGTCTCTGGCGGCGTGTCGGTCGCACTGACAAATGCCATGAGTAAAAAACGAAAAAAAAAACAATAATAAAGGTGATGATGAAACACAAATGATAAAGGAGGGAGATGAGGTAACTAGAAGGGAAGAATAAGTACATAGATGAGTGAGAGATAGATAGATAGAGAGAGAGATAGAGAGAGAGAGAAAAAAATATTCCATATAATCCGTAAACTTAAGAAAAAAAAAAAAAATTCCTTCATTATTATTAAAAAAAAAAAAAAAAAAAAGTAAGGAATCCCCGATAGCGCACACAAGCCCCGTGTACCTCCGACCGCAAATTCCAAACGACCGGAGAAGAAAAAGAAAAAAAAAATTAAAATAATAAAGTTAGTTATAATAAATAGCCAAAAAAATGACAAAACAGTGACAGGTCTTACCTCCAACCACCACGAGCTTGTATTCCGTCATGTTACCTCGGAAATAAGTCCGCACCAAAGTCTAAATTCTGCTTGTAATTACTGGACACGAGGGAAGGCCATAAGTCGCATAATAAAGGCTAAAAAAAGACTTAAATGCCGGAGACTCGAACCATCGCTTCCCCCACCCTCTTTCAGGCGAATGTTCCAATGTTATGCCTCGCGTAGGATTTGGTCTTATTTTCGCTCTTATCTCTCTAATCACGGACGAATTTCCCTCATTTTAAAAAAAGGGGCGTCGGTTTTTTTTATCGAGACGATCGGCTAGTGGAGGAATATTTTACGAAAAAGATAATCTGTCGAATATTCTAAAGACTGTACATGATTCCGACCGGATTATAGCCAACTGTTCGTATGCGTTGAGACTAAATTTTTTTTTTTTTTAATATCTCGCTCAACGTTATTATAACCGCAATGATTCTTCTAAAAAAAATCTCAATCCAATAACCGAAAAGGGGGGAAATTAAGGGTAATGCAAAATACACTAAGCTAGCGAGAATAAAATAACCCCCTGGGAGGACGAAAGGCACTTAGCGGAACAAGAACAAGGACAGCGGAGTGAAGGGCGTATGGATGATTTTTATTCATTTTTCCCTAATAAAACCTCTCTTTTCGGGGGGAATCGGGCAAGGGAGGGGAAAAAAACATGCGAAAACGACCTCGTTTCCCCCCCTCGCCATCTTAAACGACCTGTTTCCCCAGCCTTTAGATATATGGCTGATAAAAAAAAGCGAAAATTTAGCGACATATGGCAAGGAGTGGCTGAGTCACGACAAAGGCATACGGAGATGGGCAAGGGGGAGGGGCAAGGGAGGAGGGGGAGGGGCAGGGGAGGGAGGGAAAGGGCAGGGGAGGAGGGGGGAGGGGAGAGGGGAAAGGGCAGGGGAGGGAGGGGGGAGAAGGGCAGGAGAGGGAGGGAGGGAAAGGGCAGGGGAGGAGGGGGAGGGAGAGGGGAAAGGGCAGGGAAGGGAGGAGGGGGAGGGGAGAGGGGAAAGGGCATGGTAGATAGGGGAAGGGGAAGGGGAAAGGGCAGGGGAGGGAGGGAGAGGAGAGGGGAAAGGGCAGGGTAGATAGGGAAGAGGGGAAGGGGAAGGGGAAAGGGCAGGGGTGGGAGGGATAAGGGGAAGGGGGAAGGGGGGAGAATAGAGTAAGGTGGGGGTGGGTGGGGAGTCAATAGGGCAGGATAGGGAAGGAAAAGGGTAATAAAGTAGGGAGGAGAGAAGGGAAAAGTATGGGGGAGGGGAAAGTGTAAGGTAGCGAGGGAAAGGCAAGAGGCGCGAGGGAAAAGTAGAGTAGGGAAGGGGGGGAGGGTAAAGGGCAAGGGGTAGGAAGAGCGAGGGGAAAGGGTAGACTAGGGAAAGGGGAAAAGGTCAGGGTAAGGAGGGGGAGGGGAAGGGGAAAGCATAGAGTAGGGGGGAGTAGGGGAAGGAAAGGACAGGGTAGGGAATGGAAAGGCAAGGAAAGAGTGGAGAGGGGAAAGGGGAAGATCAGGGTAGGGAGGAGGAGGGAAAAGGGCAGCGTAGTAAGGGTATAGAGGGGAAGGAAGAGGGAAGGAGAAGGGTAGGGCAGGGAAGAGGGGAAGGAAGGGGGAAGGGGAGGATAGAGGCAATAGGGGAAGAAGGGCAAAGGAGGAAAAGACAGATTAGAGAAGGGAAAGGTAAAGGCGAGGGAGGGGAGGGTAAGAAGGGGTAAGGGACAAGGGAGGAAGAAGAAGAAGCAGAGTAGGGAGGAGAAGGAAAAGGGCCAGGATAGGGAGGGAGGAGAGGAGAGGACAGGCAGGAAGGGGAAGGGGAAAGGGGAAGGTAGCGAGAAGGAGGGGGATAGGGGAAGGGTAGTGACAA